CTAGATGAACGCGGCATCGAACAGCCGTTCTAACACGCCCAACCGCGCATTATTTGGTGAGGTGTGGAACGTTTCTGAACGTCTCCGGCGAGCTCCGCCGTGTTTTTGGTCGCCGGGGCAACTCCGGTGGCCGTCGTCGACGTGGCACGACAGGTGGGGTCCCTGGGACACTGATGGTGGGCCCAACGAGCCCCCGTTGACTGGGTAGACCCAGTCAACATGCTGACTGGGCAGCCCAGTCACTGACGTGTGGGTCCCCCTCGGTTAATTAATCAAATAAACATTTTAATAATTAAAACTAATTAGTTAAGTTAATTAGGCTATGACAGGTGGGGCCTGCCTGCTAAATAACTTTGTTTAGTAAGTTTTAAAACTCTGTTAGCTCTCTGTCTATGACATGTGGGTCCCACTGGACCCACAGGTCAGGTTTGACCTGGTCAGTGAGTCTGTTGACTGCTGACATCATCCCCACGCAATGCTGATGTCATATTCCTTTTATGTTAATTTTGTTAATTTAAATAATTTCAAAAAAATATTAAAACTTTAGAAAATCGTAGATAATAAACCGTAACTCGGATAAAAATGTTTCTACATGAAAGTTCCTCAGAAAAATTCAACAAATCCGAATACGCGGTCCGTTCATCTGTCTCATGCCCCTAGCATACTGAACATGGAATCGTCCCCTCTCTTTCACCTATCCGGAATCCGCCTGACACCGGGAATTCATCCTCGGATGTTTTTCCCCTCCGTCTGCAACGTGACAATGTGTAGTACTATGTTAGGTCGACCCTAGTTCTGCATATCGTCATGTCATGCTTAGTGATGCTTCTGTTAACTCTGTATTTACTGTTTCTTCCCTCTCTTCTCTCCGGTAGACCCCGAGACAGATGTTGCCCCTATAATCGACTACGTCGACGACGACCCTTCTTCCTTTGCAGCTGAGCTTCCAGGCAAGCAAACCCCCCTTGTTCATTCCGTTATCGCCCATTTCTTTCCCTCTCTTGCTTGCATTAGAACTTCTACCGCTTTTGTATGATCCTATTCTGATGCATAGCCTGTTTTTGGTTACTCGCTTTCATACCTTACCTGCTTATTCTAAACTGCTTAGTATAGGTTGCTTAGAGATCCATCAGAGACCCCACCTTATCCCTACTGCCCCGCTGGATCTTCAGAAGACTCATACAACGAGATGGACAACCAGGCCCCGACACCGCACATCACCCCCCCTTTGTTGTACGACACTACTGGGTTACTATCGAGTGCCGAGGGTGATACCTCGTCAGCACTTTGGATTTTAACCTTGTAGGTTAGTTCATTGGTTGTGGTCATCGAGGGTGATTCCCCCTTTGCGACTCCCGATAACGACGCTGTCGTGCAACTCCTCAAGAGTGGACCTCGAGGGTGATTCCTCCTATGTTCACTTTGACGATTACATCAGGTGGAATTAACTACGTGGCGTAGCCGGGCATTCTTAGCCCTTGCCGCAAGTCCACGAGACGAGGTGACGGGGTCACATCGATCGTGAGTCTTTGCTCGTTACCGCGGGCTCCTAATTCACTAACGGCTTGGATATTTGATCCGAGTCCTCTGGCCTTTTTCGCACTAACCACCACGCGGGAATAAGTATGGGCACTCTATGGCGTATGTATCAGCCGAAAGCTCAACAGACGTCAGCGACTAAGCTGCGCGCGTCAGGTTGGACTGCGTAAGCACCTGCCTTTTTTAAGGAGGTAGCTAGGTCTGCTCACTGGCCGCGTACGCAACATGCAGGAATGCAAAGGGTGATGGGCCCAAGACCCCTGCACGCTTAGGATGTAGACCGGCGTGTTGGCCTCTCTGATGAGCCTAGGTAGGACTGCAGTATGTTGATCGGCCGAGGGCGCTCATGACCTGATGGTGTGTCTGGTCGGAGTTGATCGAGCTTGTTGGGTAAGTTGGTGCACCCCTGCAGGGAAGTGTTATCTATTCGAATAGCCGGGTCCACAGTAACGGACGCTCGGAGTTGTACCCCAATCGATACAACTAGAATTAGATACTGAATGCTGAGGCATGTAATGGATATGTGGCTCCGAGATTGCTTTCCCGCAGGGAGTCGGGGAAGGATCTCTGGGCGTTATTTCTACAACATGTTTGTTAATTATAAATTGCTATTCTATACTCTTCTGATTGTTGCAAGATGCTTGGAGCTGCTTGAAGATGCTAGTCTTTGATAGGCTAGGCTTTCCTTTTCTTTTCTGGCATTCTGCAGTTCAGTCCACAGATACTACCCATTTCATTGATACCGATGCATATGTAGTGTAGATCCTTTCTTGCGAGTACTTTGGATGAGTACTCACGATTGCTTTGCTCCCCTTTTTTCACCTCTTTCCATTCTTCTCGGATGCTGCAACCAGATGGTGGAGCCCAAGATCCAGACGCCACCGCCGATGACTACTACTGCCCCGAGGGTGCCTACTACTACGTGACGGACGCCGACGACCAGGAGTAGTTAGGAGGCTCCCAGGCAGGAGGCCTTGCCTTTTCGATCGTTGATACTTTTGTGCTAGCCTTCTTAAGGAAAACTTGTTTAACTTATGTTTGTACTCAGATATTGTTGCTTCCGCTGACTCGTTTGTATTCAAGCTTATGTATTCGAGCCCTCGAGGCCCCTGGCTTGTAATATAAAGCTTGTTTTATTTTAATTTGTGTCTAGAGTTGTGTTGTGATATCTTTCCGTGAGTCCCTGATCTTGATCGTACACATTTGCCTGTATGATTAGTGTACAATTGAATTGGGGGCATCACAGTGTATTACATCGTCAGTAGCCCCCGAGCGTGTTTGGGGTTGAAGCACCTCGATCTTTGAGAGCCTAGACAGGCTCCCCATGTCCTTATTGCTTGCTTTCGTGAGTCCGGCTTCAGGGGTGTCTTCGGGCCTGCAAGTTGCATGGCCTAGTGGTACTTGCGAGTCTTCAGCTCAGAGCCCCATGGGTTCACCGCTTCTCGTCGTGTCCCGGTTCGGAAAGGCCTTCGGACATGCGCGTCATGGTTCCCTCATCCTGCAGCTTCCGGGATCGTTCCTGTATCAGGGGAGAGCTAAAACCTGAGCCCTCAATTGGGCTGTTGACAAGGCTCATGCCTGGTGCGTCAATTGACGGTGCATAAACCTGTCAGTATCCCTGGTAGGGTAGCGACCGTGGCCGAAAGTACCTAATCGGAGATCACACGAGGAAGTTACTTAGACTCTAGCCTCCAGGAATGAGTAACACCATACGTCCTGCTTTTGGTTTGTATGCATGGTGGAGTACCTCGTGCAAGAGTATGATTCTACGGATCTAGATGCCAATGGCTATCCCTAGCGCCCACCTTATATAGATGACGGGGCTAGGGTTTTATAGGACATTGATCCGATCTAAGGCGCCGCCATCTTGGCTTGCTCACCAAGATGATCCTTGTCGTTTATCCGAGCTCTGGAGATTCCTCTTGTGGTTAGGTCTTCATCGAGCTTCATGGGCCCCAAGACGGGCCTGCTACCGGACTCCGGTCGCCACCCCTAGTGTACTACACCATCACCCAGCCTCTGACATCACTACAAAAAACAGCAACTCTCGGAGAGGAAAAGAAGACCCAATCTCATCGCCCTAACTAGACGGTGAGAGGACGAGGCCATCGGCTTCGACGCCATCATGGATAACGTCGTCATGGTGGGGAGGAATCCGAGGCAACTTTATTTGACGCGACGTTGTTCCCATCCTTCCGGTGCCACCACATGAAAGACTAACTCCACCTATGAAAAAAACACAAGAAAGAAACAATACCCCCTCCTTCAACCGCCGCCGGAGCAGCGAGCAGAGGAAGAGGAAACCACGACCTTGCCGACTTTCACCAAAAGGAGAAACCGTATGCCCATGATTGCCCTTTTTTCCTGGAGAGGAAGACGGGGTACTGGCAACTGTCAGGCGAGTAACCACTTTATCTAAGGTAACTATCAAGTGCAATAATCCTACACCTAAGGTGTTACAAAAAATTTACGTAACTTCCCCTCACTAATTCCCCCCCCCCCACCTAATTTCAGTGGGGTGGGCCCCTCCTCCCCCTAGACCCAATCACAATCTGTGGAGTAAATTTTATGTAACTCCCTTCGTAGGTGTAGCATTGCTCCTTTTTTTTAAAAGGAGGAAGACCCCCGGCCTCTGCAATGCATGCAGCCACTTTATTAATTATTCACGAAGACCTTACAAGGTAATACATCAGTTGAAGGGGTGCTGATAGTCCGAGCCTAATACCAAACAGACCTCGCAGCAAGCCTAACATCTAGAACCGGAGGCCCCAACCAAGCCACTGCAGGGTCTGGGGCACACACCGGTCCGGCGCACTCTTAGAGGCTGCCGCCGCCGTCTTCCACCGATCCATCTTCAGAGCATTTGCCGACGCATCGACCTTGCGAGGCCTACCATCGACGTCACCACGACGCCAAATAGCTCCAACCTCCTGCGCGAGTCTATCTACACGCATCGAACGCCGAGACTCCACTGCGCCACGCCACCGAGATCTGTCGTCTTCGATGCGGAGGAGGAAACACCGCTCCACCTCTGGGCGCATCACCGGCCACCTGCCGCGATGCCGTGCAAGTCCAGCCCCGGGAAAGCACGCAGGGAATCACAATCTTCAAGACGACACCCTTAGGAGGGGAATTGACGTGTCACGCCATTGGCCCTGCACCGAAGAAAGTGACCCGAGAGCGGAGGAGGTCGGAGAGCTCCACGACGGCCCCCAGGAGGAGAGTGACATCCGCAGACGCCGCACCGTCGGCTTTGGCCCGGAGCAACCCTACCTCCGCACCCTCACGCCGACCCCTGACCACACAGAGAGGACCAACCCCGACCGCCGACCCCCTTGGCCGGCTCCCACGTGTTTCCATATGGGACAAAAAGATGACAATCCACACACAAGCACATCACAATGAATTCATTCTGTTCCAGTGCCTACTGCCCTGCTGAATGATCTCAGGCAAGGCAACGGCTAGGCTAGGTGTGGAGCCAGAAGGATGTCCTTGCATGCCTCGTAGAACACCCAGGTGACGCCGGACGTGGGCATGACCTTGAGGGAGCTCGCCGCCCACCCGCGGAACAGCCCCTTGAGGCCCTCCTCCTTGACCACCTCGGCCAAGGCCGCGACCATGTTGGGCGGGCATCTCCCTCGCAGGGCTCCGACCATCAGCCGCTTCCTCGCCACTTCCAGAGGGAAGCTGATCGTGCTCGCCGTCAGACCTGGAGAAAAAAGCAACCTCGAAATGTAACGGTGTATTCAATGGCCAAACTGTAAGTGAATCTTGAACACATCCCATTTAAGTTTCTCCCAAGGATTTTGCGAGTCTTATACGTAGGTCATTGCACAGCACAGGTAAACAGAATGAAACCAAGTAACGACTGAATGAAAATGCCCTTTTGACGGAAAAAAAAAAGGTAACGTTCTGGGTGGCACTGAACCCTGGACCTGAAAGAGCTCCGATGACCAGCAGCTCGGGGCGGCTCAACGACTTCTTCTTATGTGCACGGCAGTAAGACGTCTTGATCGTCTCGTACATGAAGTAGTAGCATGTGCTGTAAGGGAGCATGCCGACCAGCGTCGGGCACAGGCCAGCATAGAGACCGCCGACGCCTTCCGTTCTGTAGATCTTGTTGAACGCAAGGGCGATGCTACTGGGATACGCCTCGTGGTTAACAGTCAGGCGATCCTGAGACAGAGCATAGAACATCAACGAATGGGCAAATGGTTTGCCAGCACAAGTATATAAAATACCATCACATTCACATCAAATGCAAAGATATCACTACAAAGTTTGTCAGTATCTCCTGCCGATTTGGAAACAAACAGCACATTACACAATTTATTTAAGCCACATGTAGTTTATCATCGATAGTAACCATCAAATTTGTCAGTATCATTGTAGTCAGTTAATACAGAGTCAGATCTGATGTACCTTGAGAACCTCAAGGGGGTGGCACACTAAAGTGCTGACTATTCCAGCTGCCGCGCCTCCAATGGCGATTGGAGATAGTAGGTGAAGAGGTAGCTCGATCGTCAAACCACCGAGCTGTATCTTTGGGCACCCATCCTCTTTCCACCTCTCTTGTGCCGACGTCATGCTCCGTTTGACGCACTCGAACGTGCCGAGCTCAATTGCTTGAGTAGGAATAATGCGGATTATGTTAATTGTATTGCCTGCCCAAAGTCCTTGCCAGCCATTGTGTTCCATGATCTCCATGAAACTGCCGAAAATCTGTTTTGACCCTACACCGACAACCATTCTTGTCCTGAAATCAATCAGAAATTATGGCATCACTATTTGTTATTAATATCAAATGAGCCTAATTAACTTACCCCACCAACCGAATCTTGCTCTAATCAGAAAAAACACCAAACCTATTGAACTGAAGTGGGTAAAATGAAAGATTAGATGAAAGTAAAATGAATACTCCCTCCGTCCGAAAATATTTGTCAAAAAAATGGATGTATCTAGACGTATCTTAGTTATAGATACATCCATTTTTAGCCATTTCCTTGACAAGTATTTTCGGACCGAGGGAGTACCTGATAGTTTCTAGAGGAGCAAGAACGGCTTTAGTCATAGCACCAGCCATTGCCCCGCTAACGAATTCTGCAATTTCTCGACGCCTCAGCAAAGTCTGCGTTAGAAATTAAGGTTATTAGGTTCTGATGTAACAACTCACAACACATGTCGATGGGAAATAGAAAGATACACACATCAAACTAGTACAAAGCTAATCCTAAAACTAGTACAAAAAACATCTAGATGTGAATTAGACAAACTGTAAAAACAATTACAGTGACTGCTATACTATCATACCATACAATTAAAAGAGAGCGAAGCAGATCAGGGGAGTTCAAATTTGAAGCAAGTGGACGTTCTGAAACCCTGACAAAGAGAAGCATCAGCAGAAACACTATGAACAGTTACTGACGAAAAATCGCGAAGTGCGAAATGCATCAGAACAAACAAGCAAGCACAACAATTTCCAAAAAAAATTTTAAAAAAAAACGCAACAATGCCTACAAACGAAGTCGTAAACCGTCCCAACTTGCATCAACCGCACACACAGCTAACCGAGACGCTGGGATCTGCGGTTCCTTACCCTGACGGCGGCGCCGACGTCCGGCGGGCTGAGCCTGACTGCTACGTCCCAGTCGAGGTAGACGTCCTTGGGCTTGGGGAGCCGCACTCCAAGCAGACCGTCGTCCTTGAACGCGCCGGCGCCGCGGGCTTCGGCGAAGCCGATGCTGGCGAGCGCGAGCTTGTTGCCGCGAAAGCCACGGGCAGCCTCCTCGACGCCCATGGCCCGAGCCGCGGACAGCGGCAAACAGACGCGCGGAAGGGGGGCGTTAAAATGGTGGCGCTCCGCCGCACCTCTTGTTCGGAGGGAAGCAAAACGGCGATTCACAACGTGGCGTCGGAAAAAATCGGCCGTCGTCTACGGTTCCACGGCGAGAAGGAGGAGGTGTATTTATTCTACAGTGTCCGCCTTTTTTTTGACACATTTCTACAGTGTCCACCTCGTTGTGCGACGCTGGGCTAGTCGGCTCGGTGCACGTTTTCGACGTGCATTGTTCTGGTCTCGCGTGACGTGAACATTTTTTCACGAATAGTAAAAAAGAAGAAAAAGAGTGATGTGAACATTTTCGGTGCTACGTTGCATGTATTTTTGGGAGTTTCTCCGTGTGTTTTACACGTTCGTGTGCGAGTTTTTTTGTACATTTGCGTCAGGGGTTTCTTCCTGGGATTTTCGGGACGGTGGCATTTTCGAAGATGGAGACTGGGTTCATATCCTGCAGACCATAGAGATATTTAAGTTTTTCCCTCGCTGCATGCTTGAGCCTCCAAGCTTGCCGGGTCAGTGAGGCCGTCGTACACCACCGCCGACGCATCTAAGTATTTCCCATTTTTATCCCGACATACAGCTCCAGCTGCTCCCTTTTCCCCCAAAGTTGATAGGCCACCATCACAGTTAAACTTTGCTGCATCACCGGGGGTGGTAACCAGACTTTTGCATGAGGTCTAGCCGCACTTCCCTTGATTTCCTGGGGGGTGCGCAAATTGGCTATCTCCAGATTCTCCATGAATCTATTGATAAAACACATAGTTGACAGCGGGCTCTGGTATTCATTCTCATGGATTGCCTTCCTCCGAGCCCACCAAATTGCCCACATAGTTACCAAAACTCGAGCTAGGTCCTACTGGTTGGTTGTTTCAAAAAGTCACAACAGCCATAGCTTAGGATCCTCCATTTGGTTTGAGATCACATGCCCGACCAGATCATCATCTTCCAACGCCCACACACATCTTGCCATGCGGCAGTTGAGTAGTGAATGACGCCATGTATCCTCCTCCGCCCCACATAAAGAGCATGCAGGGGAATCGGCCATCTTCCTTTCATGCCGGACTAGCCCCGTCGGTATAGATGTATGTGTCAACCGCCAAACAAAGACTCGAATCTTCGATGGAATCTTCACCTTCCACAACTGTTTCCAAGAGTTCTTGCTAGCTGCAATATTTGAATGACTTGGCCGATGCTCTAGCCAGTCTTCCCGTTGAGTTTTGATGGCACATATCATCCTGTAGGCTGATCTTACTGAAAAAATACCACGCCTGTCATAGTGCCATGCCCAAAAGTCCTCTTGCATCCGCGTGCTAAGTGGTATATTAAGAATGGCCTCAACATCAGCCGCAATGAAATGTTCAGTCAATGCATGCTTATTCCATGAGCGTGTAGCAGGGTTAATAAGCTCCGAGACCAGACCCGGGGGGTTCAGAGAACGGGCACATATGGGTCTCAGTTTATAGTCCCTTGGGATCCAATTATCCTGCCAAACGTCTGTGCTTGCACCTGTTCCAATTCTCCTGATAAGTCCCAGTTGTAGTATATCCCTTCCTTCAACAAGAGATCCCAAACCTGGGAAGGGGCCGAACCCAGATTGGCATGTAGAAGAACGGTGTTAGGGAAGTATCGGGCTTTTAAAACTCGTGCACTCAAGGACTCTGGTTGCTGCAGTAATCTCCAAGCTTGTCGGGCAAGTAAGGCCAGGTTGAATAACTCAATATCTCGAAACCCTAAGCCCCCCATAAACTTTGGTTTTGACATGGTTTTCCAAGACCCCAAGCTGTCTTTCTCTCGCCATTCTTACTCCCCCACCAGAATTTCCGAATCAGACCGTTTATGTGTTCGCATAATCCACGGGGTAATTTAAAACATGCCATTGAGTGAGTCGGAATAGCTTGTGCCACAGACTTAATAAGGACCTCTTTTCCTCCCGCCGACAAACATTTCTCCATCCACCCTTGCACTCGTTTCCAGATTCGGTCTTTTAAATATTTGAAAGAGCCTTCCTTAGCTCTTCCCACATCCGAGGGCAGCCCCAAATATTTCTCCATCAAAGACTCATTGTGCACATCAAGAATATTCTTTATCGAAACTTTAGTGGCATCCGAAACCCCCTTACTGAAGAAAATTGAGCTTTTTTCAACATTAATCTTCTGACCCGAGGCATTGCAATAATCTGTGAGCAACTCGTTCACCCGCGTAGCAGCATCATCATTGGCCTCAAAAAAGAGTAAGCTATCATCGGCAAATAGGAGATGATTTACCAAGGGGGCGTTGGGAGCAACCGCTAACCCATTGACCCCACGTTGAGACTTCAGAAGACATGAAAGCCCTTCCGCAGCAAGCAAGAATAGGTACGGAGATATAGGATCCCCCTGCCGTAGCCCCCGAGAAGGCCTGAAAGCATCCAGACTACCACCATTAAACAAAACAGAGAAAGAAACTAAAGTCACACACCTCATAACCGTGTTTGTGAATCTAGGGCTGAATCCCATCTTTAACATAACTGCCTGAAGGTAGGGCCACTCCAAACGATCGTAAGCCTTCATCATGTCAAGCTTGAGCGCACAGAATCTGTTCCCTTTCACCCTTCTAGTTTTCATGTAGTGCAGACACTCATAAGCCGTGATAAAATTGTTTGTAATGAGACGTCCAGGGACAAATGCAGACTGCTCTTCAGAGATGATCTCGGGGAGAATAGATTTCAGCCGGTTTGCTAAGACCTTCGAGGCAATCTTGTAGATCACATTACAAAGGCTTATAGGCCGAAACTGTCCTAAAACTTTTGGACTGGATATCTTGGGAATTAAAACGATGAACGTATTATTTATTTCCTCCGGAGAATCAACACCATCAAGCACTCGAATGATCATCCTTGTAACCTCATCACCACATAAATCCCAATGCTTCTGGAAAAAATGCGCAGGGAAACCACTGGGCCTGGGGCCTTGGTCGGGAACATCTGAAAAAGAGCTTGTTTCACCTCTTCATTGCTATAGTTCTCATTGAGACGTACATTCATATTACCATTCACCCAAGCCGGTATATGCGATAGGAATTCCTCCATACCGATTGTGCCCTCCGAAGTATACAGATTTTTATAGAAATCTGTTGTCATTCCGGCCAACTCACTAGGCTCCGTGCATGTCATGCCATCATCTCGGTTCAATTGCACTATCCTGTTTTTCGCCCGGCGAGCACTTGCCTTCCTTTGAAAAAACTTTGTATTGCTATCTCCCTCAGCTAGCCACATGATACGTGACCGTTGTTTTGCCATAATCTCCTCTCTATACGCGAGCTCGATCATGCGGTCTTCAAGCTTTCGCTCTTCCTGACTTGGGCCAGTTCGCTGCGGGTCAGCCCGTAGTGACGAAAGCTGGCTCCTCAACAAACGCATCTCCTGTCGAACAGAGCCAAAGGTGCTTCTACTCCACCGTGTCATTGAAGCCGCTATAGACTGCAGCTTATTTGCCAAATCACCAACTGAAAGTGCCGGGCCGTCACCAGCCCAGGCCTCTACGACTGTATTATTGAATCGTAGGTCAGGTTCCCATGCACATTAATATCGAAAAGGCTTTTTCCCGATCATTCGCTGACATCCCGTTTCCATCTCGGTCCTTAGCAGGATCGGACTATGGTCACTCTTTGCTGCAGTCAAGTGCTCCACAGTAGCAAATGGGAAAAGGTTGGACCAGCTCGGTGTAGCAAGAGCACGGTCCAGCCGAACCCTGCAAAATTGTCCTCCTGCCACCCTTTTCTCAAAAGTCCAATCGAGACCCTTATAGCCTAGGTCCGACAGGCCACAGACATCTACTGCCTCTCTGAAACCTGCCATTTGTGCACTGTCACGAGGATTTGGCCCCATTTGTTCCTCCTGGCGCAAGATCTCGTTGAAATCGCCAATGCAAAGCCAGGGTAAAGTACTCTCCCCCCTCAGTCTCTTCATAGTTTCCCAAGTGTTATGCCGCAAGCTTCTATTCGCCTCCCGTAGAAACAAGAAAGGCGCCATTGCTCCATACCTGCGGTCGATATCCAAGCATCGATATGGTACTGAGAAAAGTTCTTTATTGATAGAGTAACATCATCCTTCCAAAAGATACATAAACCTCCACTCCGCCCACTACTAGCTACTGCAAAACTACTATGAAAACCTAAAGAAGCCGCCAAACCTTCCACTTGGTTTTTTGCAATTTGCGTTTCCACTATACGAAGAACCGACGGTGCACATTCCTCCACGAGAGCGCGGAGTGTCGTGGTTCTAAGTCTGACAGTAGTGTAGGGGGGTACTAAGGAGAGGCAAGATCCTAGCTATGGAGTAGTTGTGCACACAAGAGTTTTACGAGTTCAGGCCCTTCTTGGAAGAAGTAACAGCCCTACGTCTCGGTGCCCGGAGGCGGTCGACTGGATTATATGTGTGAGAGTTACAGGGGTGCGAACCCTTCTGCCTGTGGAGGGGGGTGGCTTATATAGAGTG